AGGACGGCATCAAAAGCTCCTTTCACGTCGAGTGTAAGCATGCTGGCTGTGCGCCCCTCGCTCGAAGCTCTTTCGACATCATGTGTAAGACAGGTGCTAAGATCGACGGCTGACCTCCCTGGGAAGGCACCAAACTGCTGGGTAGATAGTATCGTATTACGGGTCGCGATCCAAGCTACACGTCTGGCTATCAGCCGCTCCAACTCCTTCCCAAGTGCGTAGAGAAGTGCTATCGGGCGGTATGAGCGAGGGGAAGATAGGTCTGCCTTGTTTGGCTTCTGAAGCATGGTTAAAACAGCTTGCCGGAAGCAGACAGGATGATGACCGAGAGAGAGACAGCTTTTGAAGAGTGAGAAGATATATTCTCCGATGAGGGGCCAAGCTATACGTAATATGGCAGTTGGGATCTCGTCAGCCCCAGGGGCTGTATTTCCTGCTCTAAGAACCGCATCCTGAACTTCGTCCTGGTAGAGTGGTGGGAACGAAATGGAGCGTTTTACAACTGTCGGGGTATCCGAAGGGATATCATCAACTTCAGCCAGGTTCGTGAGTAAATTACCGAGTAGAATTTCCCTTTTTTCAGGCAACGATGTCGCAGGGTGGCGCTCCGGGGACCTAGGGTCTTTGAGTGGAGTGGATCGAAAGTTACCCGTGGACTTATGCTATTTTGTCAGAGCGAAGATGTTCTTGCCCGTACTAGCTGCGGCAATCTTGTTAGTGAAGTAGGCCTTCTTTGCCCTTGCGATCGTTCCCCGATACTCCTTTCGCTCTCTGGCAACACCTTCCTCTGTTGTGGGTCCGCTTCGAACCTTCTTGTACCTTTGGCAAGCCTGTTTGCATGATGTATCCCACCATGCGTTCCCTTTACCATGGCCCAATGAGCGGCGGGCTGCGCCCATATATGCTGTACGGATAGCTTCTGTTAGCTCTGTTGCGCACCCGTCCAGCGCCTCCCTGGTGGAAGTTCGTGGAATTGGACTAAGACCATCAATATTGATGGATAGTAGACGGCGGAAAAGTTCCTTGTCCAACGTGTCGAGTCTGAGCCTGCGGAGGGGTTCAGTATATCCTTCCAAATCAACTAAAGTTAGTATTGTAGCATGGTCTGACATCGTGTCTAGATGTTGGGCTATGGTGCACTTTGTCTTTTGAACTAGAGGGCTGGATCCGAGAACTAAATCGAGTACATTGCCACGGTCATGCGTTGCCATATCTGCAGGTGATAGAAGAGAGAGACTGTTTTTATCTTCCCATTCTGTGAACTTTTTGGCGCCGGGGGAGGGGCTGCGGGTCCATGATGGCTGCCATCTGGTGTGGTGTAAATTGAAATCTCCAGAGATAAGCAGATTACCTTCGGAAGGGAGGGCGAGAGAGTAAAGGGAATCGAGAACACTATTGCTGGTGGGTCCTGCAGGAGCGTTGTAGACGTTGACAATACTTATGGACTTACCCGAGGACGAGACAATTCTTAGGAGAAGTATATCGCTTGAAAATGTTGTATGACCCTGTTCTGAATAGAGACAGGCATTTTTCCGCACATAGGACATCACCCTAGGTCGTGAGGATGTCCAGTCGTCGATTGGTGAGAAGGTCTCGAAGGATGGGTGGCGTTTGGTGATACGCCTGGCGCGGTCGCTGTAAATGTACTGTTCTTGTATTAGTACAATATCAGCAGAGGCTAGGCTGGCTTCGTTGAGAGCTAGCTCGTGTGATTGGGCTCCGCGGCCGACATTTGCAGAGATTATTTTTAATGGGCAATTGTTTTGTTTGCGGCGCCGAAAAGGAGTCATTATAATTGCGCTTGGCCGTTACTCTGATCCTCTGTGAGTAGGACTTCATATGGGTTGATGGATTTTACTGAAACCAGCTGGGATCGACCCATTTCAGCAGGGGTTGCGGCCGTAGTATGCGTGGTTTTGGGGCTAGCCGTAGCCTTGATACAGCCAGCTTCTGCTTGTTTCCGTAGGCGAGCGTCTGCGTTGATCTGACGGATAGCACTTACTTGATTCTTAATCTTCGGAGGACCGGAGGGCTTAGGCCGGAGGTCACAGCTAACATCGTCCGCGGGATGGGGGCTAAGACAGTGGATGCATCTGTTTGGGCATACATGTTGGCCCGTGGCGCCGCATTGATTGGCATGATCTTTTTCGGAGTGTCTGGAGGATCCGCACAGGCGGCATCTGAGGTCGGAGGCACATGTGCGTGTATTTTGCCAAAGCCAGCACCGGGTGCACTGGACAGCCATCTGACGCTTGGGTAGAATTCTTGTCTGCGTGCGGCAGCCCAAGAGGAAGAGGGTGCGTGGCAGGCGCTAATGAGATTCTGGGAAGCGCACAATCCATGTTGTCGACGAGGACGTTGGATTAGCATCATTATCGCGTGAAGCCGCAATAGCTACAGGGGCCACCCCAGCTGCAGTGGCTAAAGCATCCTTCAACGCCTCAGCTGTGACTGGCTTAAGGCAATACTTCCATTCTACGTTGATGTGTTCCAGGGCTCCATATGTCCGGGGAACATTTTTTATGCGGTAGGAAGTCCATGGTGTTGCTTTCTCTACTGGTGCGTCCCCGAAGAAACTTACGGACTTTATTTTTTCCATGAGATTTTCTGAGTCTTCGTCTTTGGGGTGGAGAGCGAAACCAGTCTTCGTTGACCGCACATTCATTAGAATCTGACCCCCATTGCCAAGCTTAGCTTTCAGGTGGGATTGTATTGCGAATGCTGAATGATCTCGGAGTGTACTGCCTTCCGGAATACGAACGAATAGTCGGTCATCAGTGCGGGTGGGCTTGGGCTGAAACCGCGCTTTAGCGGGTGTCGGGAGGGTTGGAGTATGACGACCGGCAAATTGCTTATTGGATGCCCGTGAAGCTGCATTTGCGTAGGTCTGCGCGGTTTTTTGGGCATTGCGGCTGGGCGGGGAGGGGTCATCGGTGACGGTCACAGGCTTATCGCAGAGGTAAACATCGAAATGCCGTGCTGCGACTTTAGCTAGATCATTACAGAGGCTTCTGAATGCTTCAGCTTGCTTGGCGGGTAGTGTAGCGTAGTTGGGTGCGCTGCTATGCTTGTCGATTAGTGCCGAAATACCTCTAAAAAGGGACTCTGCCTCTTTTGCTCGGGTTGTCATAGAGTTTACGCTCTTGGTCAGAGTATCTTGCATCAGGCCCGCGGGAGCTGGCTCTGAAAATGGGTCGTCGTCGGGGTCGTCGTATTCGATTTGATCGTCGTAATTAATTGGATCGATCTCCATGTCATGCTGCTGGCTGCATCCGGGTGTGTCCCAATCGCGAAGGGCTGGATTATAGAATGGAGTGGCTTCTACCACCTGAGGTTGGTTAAGACCCTCCATGATCGGGAGGGCTGCTCTCACGCGCGCTGAGCGCGAGACGCGGCTTGATTCTGATGACGGTTTGGCTACAGTTGTCGGTTTTTGACGCGACTTGTGAAAGGTGGTATGGGGGGTTTGATGTTTTTGTGGTTATTTCTGATCGGAGCCAGAGCGGAAGGTTCTTTACAGTTCAATCTACAAATTGGAATAGATAAAAAGTCTGTAATCGAAAATTATTATCCTCTTTCATGGCTGTAATGCTGTTATTTGGATGTATTAAATCACGTGATGCAGAAGCATTCTTAATCTGGTTTCGTTTCCACGCATCCCCGCTACTGAACTTACTGATCAATTATTTATTTCTTTGGTGATAAACCAGCTGTAACTTGTGGAGTAAACATGCTTCGGTTCATATCCCAAGTGATTATGATATCTAGTGCCTTAAGAATTATGGAGCAGTACCTCTTTGCTTGGGAATGCGGCATGAAGAGGACTTGGGGCAAAGTTTGACCGACTCAGAATATAATGTGCTGCACTATTAGCAATCACTGATAATTTTTTGTCCGCAGAAATGTGAACCGGTTTCACATAGCCAGGCAATCACTCAGAATTTTCAAGTCCCTAATTTTTACATGAGACCTTGGGGGACTATTCTCAACACCTATCAGCGATGTCCCTTACGAACCTCCAGCTCTCGCTGTAGATGCTGCAGAGCCGAGTTTGAGTACCAAAGTCCTCACTTCGACGAGGATTCCCAATCGCTTTCGCGGTCTGTATCGTCTTCATCTCTCAACACATCCCCCCCATCACCATTATCATGGAGGAAAAGCCATCCGATGAGTTTCCGGAGCATACCCAGCACCCAATACGGCGATGATGAATTGGATCAAGATGGCCTCGACTGTTACAAAGAATGGAGATATAGATGAATATGCGCACCTCATGTGGTCCCGGTGTCTAGGCCTCGCCTGGCTGGGGCTGCAGGTTTTTTGAGACTTTTTCCCGCGCATGCAGTTTCCATTGCTACCATTTTTTTTATTTTTTATTTTTTTTGGGTAGAAGGTTCGGTGGAAAAGGAGGCCGAATTCCGCGGGTAAACACTGAACTGAATAGCTTCTTTTTACGGGCTATATATCAATAATTTTTCAAGTAACGAAAGAGGCAAGGAGCTCCGTACTAGGTGTGGCCTGGGTCAGAGAGGAGCCCAATGTGCTAGATAGTCATATACTCAAGTAGTACAATAAACACACACACACATACGCATGACCTACTCTACAGCAAATTTCCCACTTGAAAAATTATTATCCTCGAATAAAAACATAATTTAGAAACAAATATAGGTCTCATCTTTGTCACGAACTGGGCGACCGAGCTACAATATGCTTCCACATGCCTTTTTCAATGGTTGATTTCGGACATTATTTTGACATTCATATTCGGACGGCCAACGTCTGTTTTTTTCATGTGGAGCTTGTAGAATGATGCAAACCGACGATATTTGTAACCTAAAAATGTGTTTTCGAGATACGAGGTAATTCACAAATCTGATTGTTGCCTTGAATATGAGCTAATATATTACAAGTGAGTTCATATCATTTAGTTGTTGCCTCGTTATCTACATTTGTAAGATTATGGTCATTCCAAACCCTTAACTAGTATTGATTTGGACCTACTCGTCCTCATCTTCATAACCAGACAGAGGCTGTCGTGGGCCGGAAGGAACTAGGAAAAGTTAAGTTAGCTACAGTCCAAGCAACTTATGACCTCAAAACGCACTTGGATACGTTAGAGGGATGGGTGGCCTTGGTTTATCTCCAAATAGTCTACGAATAGTTGGAGCCACCACGATTGTTGCTGGTCCCAAACTCCCGATGATAATAGACCAGAATATAGCTGGTTTTTCGATGGATGCCCAGTGAATAAACTTGAATGGCTGCGAAAAGAATCGTGGTCGTAGAGGGGCCATATTAGCTTCTACTATCTGTCAGTTGATTGTAAACTCAGTACCAGAATAATTATCGCGTCGTATTATGTCAGCTCAAATAACCCACCTGTAGTCTCCTTGCCTCTGGAAAGTAGCCACTACTTCACAAGCTTGACGTCTTGGTCCGCTGGTTTACTTCACTGCTTCGTTTAGTGTCTCACGTGAGTTGTTGCATGAAATTTCGTCTTGGCAAATCTTCGGTTTGCATGGACTAAACAATGAGACCTCTGCGGCCCACTTTAAGATCTCTGTCTAATCAAAAATGAATTGGCTCTTAATATACTTCCTCGGACTTGGATGTGTCTTCGAGGCAGCTAGCTTGGGCGGAAATCGCTTGCTCCTTTTGCTGGAAGAATCGACCGAAAAGTCCAAATATTCGAACTACATCACGGATCTAGAAGGTAATAAATAGAGCTCAGATAGTACCTGTCTCACGAAAACTTCTTGCTAACAGCAATCAAATACAGATAGAGGTTATCAGATTTCAATAGATTCCCCAAAGAACGAGAAGCTCTCACTGTCGAAGCTTGATGATAGAACTTATGACCATCTCTTAATTCTTCCTTGCAAGTCGAAAGGTCTTTCACGTCAGCCTTAACCTAACAGCTTATTTTTCTGACTATCTCAGGCCTTGGACCTAATCTCACTCCCGCAATACTCCTCGATTTCTTGAATCAAGGTGGAAATATATTCATAGCTCTGTCAGCAACAAGACCAACACCGACGTCCCTGGTATCGCTACTCCTTGAACTTGATATTCATCTTCCAACCGATCGCTCTTCTGTCATCATCGACCATTTTAATTATGACACGCATAGCTCTGCAGAGATGCACGATGTCCTTCTTGTTCCTAGACCAGATGCTATAAGGCCAGACGTCAAAAATTATTTCCGCGGTAGTGGTATAGGTGGCGAGGTTATTGCAGTTCCAAGAGCAGTTGGACAGACATTAGGTAACCTAAGTCCGCTTTTGACTCCAATTCTGCGTGCTCCCCGTACAGCATACAGCTACAGCACAAAAGACGAAGTTTTGCAAGACATTTTTGCTGTCGGGCCTCAACTTTCACTGGTCACTGCATTTCAAGCTCGAAATTCGGCCCGTTGTACTGTGATTGGATCCTCAGAGATGCTCGAAGACGCATGGTTTGACAGAAAAGTTGCGCGTCCAAACCAATCCTCTGGCACAGAAAGTAGCTTTAGTGAGGCCTCGACCATCAATCGAGTTTTTGCAAAAGAAATAACTGGATGGACCTTTAAGGAGATTGGAGCTCTTCAGGTTGGCACAGTTGAGCACCATTTGAAAGAAGAAAGTTCCAACAACAATGGAACTAACTCTAAGATCTACCGTGTAAAAAATGATGTAGTAAGTATCCACCTAAAATCTACAACTTATTGCTAATTTAATGATAGACTTATAAAATAGAACTATCAGAATATTCTTGGGGAGAATGGATACCGTTTGTTCCAGCTCATGGCGATGTGGTTCAACTTGAGTTTTCAATGCTATCTCCGTTCCACCGACTACCACTTCGGGCTGTGTCAACTTCAAAAAATTCAACTATATTTTCAACAAGCTTCCGGCTTCCTGATCAGCATGGAATATTTAATTTTATGGTTAACTACAAAAGACCGTTCCTTACTAATGTGGAAGAAAAAGACACGGTGACAGTCCGACACTTTGCACACGATGAGTGGCCCAGAAGCTGGGTAATTACCGGTGCATGGCCATGGATTGCCGGGATTGGGGCAACTATTATTGGATGGCTTGTTTTTATTGCTCTTTGGCTCTGGAGTAAACCTGTGTTACTTGAGCCCAAAGAAATTTTAAAGAAGAAACAATAATACTCTGCGAGTAGCAAAGAATCGTCACAGCTGTATAACAACTAAAAAGTAGTGAATCTTATTAAAAAAGCAAGTCTTCAAGACTTTAAAATCTGCTCCCTTGGCCTTTAACTAACTCTTTATTTCTTATGATGGTATAAGAGATCGTATCTTGAGACTTAAAACTGATATTCACCATCGACTTATTAAGATAGCTAATCACTACTCTTGGGTAGCAGACCATGAGAAGAGGATTTAAAGCTAAAAAATGGAAAGAACGTCATTGGTTTTCCCCTCGAAAGCTGCCCTTCTAATTTCGAGGTCTTGCATAGGTAAGGCTATTTATAGATGAGAACAAGCAACTAATCTATTAGTTCTGAGCTTCACTACACTTTGCGCGATTTCTGTCAGAGCTAATAATCCAAGAAACTGTCATAGAAATCTGGGCCAACTATCGTTTACTTTAGCTCCATTAATCTTAAAATCTATAGTGCTAAATTCGTCATCCCCTCAGCAAGTGATTTAGAGAGAGTCTTTAGTCTACCTCAAGCCACTCATGGCTTGTTGGCCGAAATATCTTTCCGTTGCTTGTGCGCCATAATATGAATAACTTCAACCTTGAGTGTCATAGCTAGATATGCTGCATACACTTAATGATTAAAAATAAACTTCAACCTTGGGCTCCGGAATAACGACACGCTAGTTGGCTTACCGGGATTAGGCAATTTGGAAGTTTCACGAGATTTAGATAGGTATTACAAGTTTCTCGAAAACTGATAGCGTAGAAAATTATTTCTGGCGTTTTAAAATTAATTTGCTTATAATTATCATCAATACCTGGAATACGGAATACTCTAAGTTATATTATGATGTCGTTGTACTAACAAAATATATAAAGGGGCACATCTACTGAAGCAAAAATGCATTCAAAACGCACTGGCTACTTGCTGCACTCGTGCTAAGAAACTGGCTGTCAGTGTAACAAATTTTATCCAAAGTTGAGTTTCATGAAATAGCGAAAAAAGCAACTGTCGGACTTCTTATCATAAGGTAGCTTCACCTTTGAATGCAGTGAATCAATTACTCAATTACTCAATTCAGGGCTTTTTATTAAATATCCCTGATAGCATTTAGAATGGATGTAAGTGAAGTCGTTCGGCTAAGCACATTGTGACTTTGCCATTCACCAAACACATGAAAAGCCGTATAAGAAATCTGTATATTATTCAATCAAGTAAACAGTTCAATCCCGAAATAATACACATATACCGAGATGCTAAGATCCAGACACCAATCTAATATTTGGAATAACTGACTTTTTTCCTAGGATACTGTACCTTGTTGTGGAGCTTGAACTTAATAACACACCATTCACATCTGTCAAATGCATCCCAAGATTGGAACCAAGAGAGGGTGTTTTCCTGCTGATCCGGATGATAGTGAACATCAAAGCGACGAAAGCACTGTCAGCAACTTTACTTCGGCAAAACAGTATCAAATACTCGCCTCTCACGTCCGTCTTCAAAATTTCAGGACGAAACTTACATGCTCAGAATCCTGGGCTCAACTGCCAGAGATACCAACGAGTGAAGAAATCCTATGCTCGGACGTCAATCCTGAAGATTGGGATGATTACCAGCATGATATTCCATATGATATCAATCTTCCGTATAATGTTGTTGAAGGCCCTTGGTCTTCAAAGTTAGAATACGTATCAGCGCATTATAAGATATTGCGAGAAAACGCTATCGGGCCTCTACGTCATGCAGTTCAAATTTTCAGACGAGACCCAGGTATGATGGAAGATGAAATCATGTACATATATTCTGAGGTAAGCATAAAGGATAGTATTATAAGGAGTTCATGGTAAGACTCTAATTAGGTTACTATTATCGGATGGAAACTTTGTAACCCTGGTCCAGCATGTAGAGTCCAGTTTTCCAATTATCGGTCTGGAAAACAAATAAGGTGGCAGCAATCAAAAAGATTGCTACAAGGCTCTTTGGTTGCTTTGAGCTCTTCAAAGGACTTATTTCAGAAGAAATGCAAGCTTGCTGTGGTCGTAGGACGCAGTAATTCAGGTGGACTCGATCAGAATCCGCCTAGCATTGAGCTTTTTTTTGGAGATCATGATGATGTTGAGCTTGATCCACACGAGGGTCTGCCACTTTCTTACAATCTAGTATTACAGATTTGACTGACTATTTAAAAGGATATGTGATGATTGAAGCTTGCACTGGGTATTTTGAGGCATCTCGTTATTTACTAGTTGCCCTGCAAGATTTGATGAGTGAAAAGTAGGGTTTCTATTTCTGTTTTATCATCATTTAGATGTTAGTATGTCTTTTAACACCCTTAGGTCTCCGCTTGATCAGTACTTGACCGTGTTTGATAAGTCAGTTAAGGCTCCAGAATATCTGGATAATCATCCAGTAATGAATTTCTCATGCCTTCTTGACTCTGATGGGGATTTATCCCAAAAAAAAGACGACCAAACACTTACAAGTAAAAGCCTGGATTTTGATGTTATCAGAAAATTTCCTTGGAATTTTGATTTCGGGCTAGACCATTCTCAAATGAAAGCCATGCACACCATCATCACCAAGTGTCTTGCCGTAGTTCAAGGTCCTCCAGGAACAGGTAAAACTCATGTCTCAGTCTCATCACTAAAGCTGCTTTCCGGTAATCTAGGGCCCAGAGATCCACCGATCATTGTAGCTGCTCAAACAAATCATGCGCTTGATCAGCTTCTAAATCATATATTAAAATTTGAAGATAATATCCTAAGGCTGGGCGGAAGATCAGCCCGTGTGAATACTAAAATCCGGACACGTACGCTTTTTGAATTACGGAACTCGATCAGTGGCGAAGGGAAAAAGCATGGGATTAATCATATGAGAGAAATGAAGGCTTTACAAAATAAGCTTATTAACATCCTAGAGCCACTATTGACAGATAAGCTTTTGACATCTGAACAACTCTTGAAGCAAAATATTATCACGGAAAAGCAAGCTAGTTCCCTTTCAACACTTGATTGGGCTGAAAATGAGACAATAGATGGAGTTGCCACGTGTGAGTTGATCAAACTGAAATACCTCTGCGATGGCTAAATTCTGATCCAAGGGCTTGGAGATGATCAAATAATTCCTATAAGAAAAACTCCTCTAATAAACGAAGATCTTCCATTGGAAGATGACCTTAACGATAATATTTTTAAAGACGCGAATATCGATAAAGTCCTAAATTTCGATGAACCCATTGAGATCGAAGACAATGAACTTTTCGGGAGATTTTTACAGTATCGAAGGAAATACACTGGCAACCATTCGGGCCCGATAGATTCAAAAAAATGGAGGAAGCGTATGAACAAAATTAAGGATCTCTATGAAATTCATAAGAGTGAACGTGGTATGGCTTATCGTTATTTTGAACTTGAGCTCGATGCCAAAATGCGTAAAATGGCTCGATCTACATTAGCAGAATACAAAGAGCTCACAAAAAAAATAAAAATTTCTAAGGTATGATATGCAGAGACGTAGATAGCTTCAGCTAAGATCTCGTAGTCTCTAGAGAGTTTGAAACTTATTAAGAAACTCGGGATAAAGATTATAGGTTGTACTACGACTGGACTTTCTAAATATCGAGCTCTTCTGTCAGCTCTACAACCACGTATATTATTAATTGAAGAAGCAGCTGAAACATTAGAGGGAAAGGTGCTAGCAGGAATTCCTGAAGGTATTGAGCAACTTATTTTGGTCGGGGATCACCAACAACTACAAGCTTCCTGCACCGTCCGTCAACTGCAAGAGGCACCTTTTTACATGAAAATTTCCATGTTTGAGCGTCTAATAACAAATAATTTTCCCTACACAATGCTTAATAGGCAACGGAGAATGATATACGATGTCCGGAAATTGCTTTGTATTGAGCCAACACCATTTTATAGTAATCTTGAAGATGATAAAATTGTCTTAGATCGAGTTGAAGCACGACCACCAGTACCTGGTATGGGAGGCAATGATACCTATTTCTTTCACCATACTTGGCCAGAGGCTCAGAACTCAGACAAAAGCTGCTATAACAACGAAGAAGCAGAAATAGTTGTTGGCTTTTTTCAGTATTTATTTCTCAACGGCCTTGATGTATCAAACATAACTATACTTACTGTTTGTAACCCTCATATTTGTGCTACACAGATTTCTGACAAAATTTCAGTACTACAATGGGCAGAGAAAGCTCATTCTAAACCTTTTAAGGCGAATTCCAAGCTTGCTTGACATCGAACACTTTAATGTTTTCACCGTGGATAGTTATCAAGGCGAAGAGAATGATGTAATCATACTCTCTCTGGTTCGGAGTAATGTTAAACATAGCATAGGGTTCCTTAGTGAAAAAAACAGGATGGTCGTTGCGTTATCTAGGGCTAAACGTGGTCTTTATATTTTTGGTAATGCTATCACACTCACTACCAACGAGTGGGACGATATAGATATTTGCCGAAAACCGTTATGGCTCCCAGTCATCAAATATTTAGGATCCCAAAATCGGTTTGATATGGATAAAGGACTTCCAGTCATCTGTGACCGACACAAAGTGATCACGATGATAGGAAAAGCTTCAGACTTCAGCGAATTGGCCGGGGGATGTTCTATGAAATGTGATAGGGGACCTCTTCCATGCCACCACTCTTGTCCGTTAACTTGTCACCCTTTCGAACACGGTGCATTTTTAAAATGTCAAGAACCCTGCTCTACAATTTTGGGTTGCGGACATAAATGTTCCGGCGTATGCAGTAATGTCTGCTTTTGTGATGAATGTAATCCGAAAGATGATGGACTACAAATAATTGGTAATACCGATCCACTAGAGAACAATGCAGGTGACTCGGTCAATAAAATAACTGATGTAAGAAGAGAAACTATTCTCAACATGAGCGAAAATCTTGTTGGATTACAAGGCTCCGATAGGGCTTGCTTTGACATTACAAAATCTGGCGACTCTGACTTACCAGGCAAAAATATAAACAAGTCTTCGAAGGATGCTCATGATGCATGGACAAATTGGCGTCCAAAAAACGATAAAAGTAGGCCTCAAAGTAAAGGTCCTCAGGGTCAAGTGCCTAAATTTAATGGCACATCCACCCTAATTGAAGATATACATAAACCTATCAGTGTCCAAGACGGCGTACGAAAGGTAAAATCAACATCGAGAAGAGTTATCGAGATCCCCAATGCAAATGATCTATCGTTACCGAGGGGATTACTTTCAACTCAAAACATTGATACCGAGAGTCAGGGTTGTCAAAGTATTGAAGATTCCAATGACATTTTCGACAACCTTCTGACTAATTTCGATTACCATGAGAATATTTATGACGATACTCTAACAACTTCGAATAATGCTCTGGATGTGCTAGAGTCTGGATTTTCAATCCTCGATCTAGAGTGAACTATAGATATAGAAATAATACTATGTGAAATGAAAACCTATAATCTTCATGGCCAAATAAGTACTCCGTACTGAAAATAGAGCAGAGGCGCATCGTCATCACATATTATTGCATATCATGATATAAATGTCAATCTATAAAAATGTGATCCACTTCCCTATACCCCTTCAAGGTAGTTTAAATTCATCGCAAACTGTAATACTACAAGTTTTTGAAGTGATTCATTATCATGAGTTAGTACCTCTTGGGCACTCGAAGGTGTCTACGATCTCTAGTATTTACATGAGAGAAAACTTACCCGTGAAAATACTCCGAAAAAAATTTAATGTCTGATTTTTTTAACTGGACTTAAGCACTAGTGCTGGGGAATGGAAATAGAGTGTGCTGAATTGTATATATTATTATTTCTATCTAGGGTGTTTCGAACCTCTACGAATTAGATGAGACGCACAGGCCTCTACAGGCTAGTCAACTATTATTGTCTGCCGAGCCTGACGGCCTGAGGTTGCAACACTCAGCCTGACTGGAACCAACAGATTTACTTATTTGCTCTTAAGGAAGCGTAATTACTCTATAGTTTCATCCATGTAAATTTTACGGGTTGACAGTTGTTTACGCTCAGGAGAATACTTGAGCGTTTTATAGGATAATTGTAAGATTTAATGAGGGACGGCGTTGGTTCCACTGAGATTAGATGTGGGGACCTCAGGCCATTAGGCTCGTCAAACAATACCAGCTGATCAATTAGGATAGGCCAATGCATGCCATCTTATCTGGAGATTCTAGACAGCCTAGACAGAAGTGAAATATTCAATTCAGTAGACTCCATTTCCATTTCCAAGCACTATTGCTAAAGTTCTGTCAACATATGGACATGAATGAGTAGAATGGCACTACTAGCCAGGAGGTCTAAACAACGTCACGGAGTAGTAACTCCCGTCAATTATAGGCTTGGTAGTAAGAGTTCGGCCCACGTCAAAGTCATGGCAAACTATGTTCACGAAATAAATCAACTTGTTGAAATATGAAGTACGGATATAAGTCAGGTGATGGTTAATGGCAGTTATTTTTTTTTCATTTTATTATCCTATCTGAGTCCATGACTATGTAGGACATGCAGGTCCTCTCTGCTTACAGGCCAAGTACAGCCCCCTCAAACAGTACCACTCCTCACAAGCCTTCATTTGATCATACACTAAGAGAAACCCTTCGCCCTTTAAGATCACCCTCTCCAGCCAGCGTGACAATGGCAGTTTAGGGGTGTATGGCAGCCACTAGTTAACGTAGATCTCTTAATATCGACATCAGGACTAAATCCGAAGATATAGTGATCTTCCTGATGTGTTCGAAGAGGCCGGCCAGCTGAGCGCTGCAGACTTGTGGGTACCTCAGAGAATCCACCCTCTACCTTTCTAGCCTCCTTCCAACTCTTTCCCGAATGTTGTGCTCAAGTGTCAGAAAGGCCTTGATAGGGTGTGATTGCTGTATGGTAGCTCAGCTCAACTTCTTTCGTGACGTCCAGGGCGCTGGGGAGTGCCGTTGACTCATCGACAAAAGAAGTCCTCCCGGCTAATTAGCCGAAATCTTGGTCTTGGCGCCTACAAAAAATCCCTAGTTGAAAACCCCTTCGAGTATGTCAGTCCCAGCATAGTCTTCAGAGACCTGTTCCCCCTCTCGTTCCACATCTCAGCCGTCTGTCCCTCCTCAAGATGTATGACCACATTGGAGCAACAGACCCCCATAAACCAAGACCCGGGCTTTGTATATTATGACTTAATTTCCTCCTTGCGGATAAACGCAGCGTCGTAAATTTGTAGTGAATGAGGCGAGCTCCTGTTTGCAATTGGGGTGACTGCTTTATCTGTCGTTGAAGCGAGATGATATGTGGTTAGATCGAGTTTGAGGACTCAGAAGAGAATGATGAGTGCAGCATGGTTGAGAAGTCGTCAAATGAAGATATGCATGTGTTTGCTTTCGACTTCGATTCGGATGCGATTCTTCTTGGCTATCCCAGATATGCAGAGCATGCTGAGCCATTACACCTGCACCACTGGAAGCTGAAGAGTTCGTCTTTGCCGGCCAGTACCACTGCAAAATGATGGCGGCTATTTCTCCAGCCCAAGTCAACCCTCATCCGTGAATAACCACCCAGGGGAACGTCTCAATCCCCCAGAGTTATCCAGACATGCCTTCATCGTCTATTTACATTTCTCAGTGCGAAATGTAATCTGAGAAGTCTCCTTCCCAAGTGAAGTAGGTGCCCTGGCTACTCAAACTATATCGGCGAACACCACCAGGATGCGGATGTCACGGTTTCAGTACAAAATGCTAGGGCGATCTCGTAAGTACAGTATATTGATTGTAATTCTCTAGAGAGAGAATTCCTGTAGCTAGACTACAGATATATATACACTCTGAGATACTCCTCTGCTGTAAGGTTCCCCCTAAGACTAGAATAATATGGAATCTTCGAAGATTCCCTAGAAGACTCTCGATATGTCTCTCATCCTCATGAACCTTCAGTATACTTCCAGAAGATTCATTAAGAATCTTCTAAGCTCCATGTATCCCGAGATGCTTCCCGAAGATTCCCTTGCTTTCATTGCCTGCGCTAGCCAGCGTAGGCTACAGGAACCCTTAGGCTTAACAGTCGTTACAGCAGACCACGGTACCTTGCATCGATTTCCTGTGTTTACAATTCAGATACACTATTGCAATCAAAGGCTTAGCATGCACAAAGCTCAATTCGTAAAACTACTTGCCAAAATTCAAAATTACACGCCCGTCGAGATTGTATCCATCCTCCGTGTCATCTTGTAAACATGTCCTAATCCCTCTCACGTCCATCCCAAAGAACTGTCTCCCAGATTTGTGCGCCACGCTTTGCTTCCTCCGTCGGGTGTAAATATCGGCGAAGACGTGTGTTTGGTGGCCAGCCTAGCTTGTGGCTTCAAGTCTCGTTTCTAATATAAAATGAGTCGTATAACGACAGCTTACAATTGTTACTAGAAGTAAGACTTTTAATGAATTATATTGTTTCTTGTCTCTTTCCTTCCTCTAGCTACAAGTGTAAGGTACAAGAATAGTCCTCTATAGTCATTGACTCAGTTAGGACTATAATATAAATCTAATCTAATCTAATCTAATCTAAGGTACAAGAATGTGGGCGACCCTAAGTCACATGACACGTGAGCCACAAGGCCAGAGTACAGTCGATGGGAAGTGTGGTCATTGAAGTGAGGATGTACTAGGTCATACTTGTAAACTTGATGAGGTTTCTGTGAAGATCGATCTTGTTTAGTGGGAGACTTTGATTTCGTAGAGAGTCTTGGATCATTGCCTCATATGAACTTCTTCGGAATTGCGAATTTAGACTAAAATTGTTTTGGGAGAAGATTTCACTCCCAGGTTTGTGGAGGACACCGCATACAGGTGTTCAGTCTTTGCCCTCCTCACTTAATCGTTACTTGGATTAACTGAAATATTTTTGGAGGTGGTCACATATTTAGGCTCTTATATCACACAGCTCTTGCGCCTCCAGCGTTTGCACACTTGAAATAATGTTGTAAAATTTATCATTTTTTTCGACTGCTTAAAGGATCTATGCTGAGCTGGGAGTATCCTGATTAAAAAATTTAAAGATATGTGGAGCCGATTGGCCCCTCGTCAAGTACAGGATTTGAACCTGTGCGACCGAAGTCATATGATATCGTCTATTCGAGTCATACCCATTAACCACTCTGGCAACTTGACACGTCATATTGACAATAACAACACTCATATACCTAATTGTACGATATAGTATCAGAAATGGAGGCAACGACAAACAATATAGCTCACTTGCCCAAAGTAGCCTAGCTATGCAAATTCGAAGTGATCACACAGGGTTCTATTCGGATCGGTACAGAGGCAATTTAAGCTGTCAATGTGTCTCCCAATCGCAGAACCCCAAATAAATGATTATGTTCTGCCCTCGATGGTGAAATGGAAGAGAAGAGATGTGGAGAAAAGCCAAATATCGGTCCTACGAAGCTATGATAAATAATCCTGGCGGTATCAAAATGATTTGTTATATTAATTGGGCTCGGGTTGGATGGTGTAGTAGTACACCAATTGGGCCGTTCTCCCAAGTAGACACTGGGTAGCTTGAACACCTACCCCATTTGAGACATGAGAAAGCTGCTTGTAATCCAGTAAACCACACACGCTACTCCCTCTCGCGGTGACATTGTACTTGTGGCTTGATGTAAGCACACTCGGAACAACATAGGGTTTTCATGCTTTTCCCTGTGGTGGGTATGCAAGGAAGAGATATTTCGCCGTAAAGGTTAACCTCGAGTGGTATCTGCAAATGAAATCTGAGTGTGCGAGTTATAAACGTCAAATTGACACATCCTGCTTAAAGTACATATCTTCCTATAAAACCTGCTTGGGCCTCAAGGCGCCAAACCAGGACAATTTAATAATTTATTTATTAATTAGGCCATATAGGAGCAGGAAGATGGATATTCTTGGGGAAGTTATGCTCACACTAGGTCTCTCTAATCGCTATCATGTGTACTCTCGTGATAATGAAGACTTGTATTCTCGTACCAATGAAGCTTAGTTAAGAGAATGAAAAGAGGTTGAGACCTCTTATAACTTGCTTTTGACTTAATATGTTGTTCACAGTCTAGTGCTAGATCATTCCCTCGTGATATCATTTCTCTCCTAGAAGAAATGACCATCTCGTTCTCCCTGAGTCCATAGTCTCTATTTTATTCCATTATCTCTATTCTTTCTAGTTCTAGTTGGGTCCATAATACCCATATATGAATTATACACTTAATACCCCACGATTTTCGCGGTCTATATCGTATTCCTCAACACAACCCCCTATCAACATCATCGCGAAGCTAACCACGATCAGATCAGATAGCAGGGTCGGAGCCCTATTCATCACCAACCCTTGATCATAGAGGAAAGGCCATCCGATGAGTTTCCGGAGTATACCCAGCAC